AATTGTCCTGATACAGTTGTCGAATCACACTTGAGGTCTCAGGTTCAAAGAACGGAATCATTCGCTGAAATCCGCTAGCATAGTCCACTAGATTAAGAGCTTTGATCTTCTGATTGACTCGCCACCCCTGAAGCAGTTTCACATCTAGTCCTACTTGGTGATTGACTTCGGTAATGCGACGGGACTGCGCTGGCAATGGAACGGATGGTCGACTCTGACTCTTACAGAAGTCACACGAGAAATCCTTGGCCAGTTTCAGGGCTTGTTCACTAGCTTGTCCGTGTTTCAACACCCGAACCAGGTCATGATTTGGTGGATGTCCTAAGTTTTTGTGAAGCTTCATGAGTACTGGCTTGAGCTCTTCATCGGTTCGGACGGAAACGCGAGCGACAGCATTCACTTCATTCCATGCACTGGCAGACAGATCATCTTCGATGACTTCCAGGACTTCGTTCTGGCTGGTCCGGTCTCGAAATGCAGGTACTGTGTGGAGGACGGCTTTCACAAAAGGTCGGGGGTATTGTCCTGCATATTGGCTGACTGACGAGACACCTGGCCAACGTCCAGCTACTACATCATGGGCTTCATGTTTACCTACCCCTTCACACAGCTTAGACAGGACCTGCATGTCTTCATGACTGACCAGCAGACGGGTGCTCTTCCTAATGAATCTCTCACTCCCGGGCAACTGCATCCCGTACCTGCACATGTGAAGTTTCACCGTATAGTGCTTGCGACAGAGAGACTGGACTTCAGGATACGACCAGGTCTTGGCTCCGGTTGGATGCTCAAACAAAGCTCGTTTGCCTCGATTTACCTGTTGATGAAACAGTTTGCAACACCATTTGATGAAACTACGACTCTGGGCAACTCTTTTTAGATACTGCAGTCGATCCCACTTAGAGCTGTTCAAGAAAAACCATCCCCCTTCATCTGTGCAAGGTGGGCACAGAACGAGCAGCTCCGGTGGATGTTTCTCCAGTGCTTCTTCCACTCGACTCCTGTCGGATCGGGTTGAGAGATCGAATCCATTCTTAAGATCATACGAGAAGGCCTTCAGACCATGAGCCTTAACTTCCAGGGCAAAGCGTGGAGGTGAAAACACCTCTTGGACAATGACCGGTTCTGTTTGGCTAACCAAAGTTTCGTGACACACTTCGATTTGCTTGTTCAACTGTCGAAACTGGTGAGCTGATGGAACCCACACACAATCCCCTTCCCCAGGAGTCGTCTCAGATGCCACTCTGGGATCAGTGTGGAAGAACTTGGTGATCACATGTCCCGAATGAGGAGGAAGAGGAACAATACTCATCCTCTGGCTTTGCCGATCTTGAAACTCATGTGATGCTAGCACTCTCTTAGTGACGGCGTCCAGAACAACACGTTTGTGAATCGTATGCCAAGACGGTCCACAGGATGACACCCATGGAATCTTAGAAACCCCACTGTCCTCCTGCACCCAGCATCGCATGGCGGCGGCATCAGTGGATGGTCCCTCGACAAATGGCTTCGAGTACGAGGCACTGGACCTATGGTCAGCATTGGCTGCTGAGGCATCTTCGGACTCGGTCGGCTCTTGGTCTTCACTTGGACTATTACACGGAGGCTTCCTAGGATCGGATGCATGCAAAGCCGGCAATGGTGGAAGCTCAGTCAGCATAACCTCTTCGAACAGTGGTGCTTTGACTTGCGATGGTGAGCTGTCCTGCATCAACTGGATCACATATTGACCAGCTGCATTTGTCTTCAATGGAATGACAACCTCATTAAATACCCGCAGCTCATCGTTGTGAAAATCGATGGAGGCTTGTAGAGCTTTCAATGCTGTGCGACTGATCAGGAGCGGAGCTGAACCGCTCACTATAGCAGCACGGATTGAACCGCGCTTGCCAGCGAGCCACACTGGGATGCAAACCGATTCCGTGGAAGTTTCCACGTGGCCATTTCCAAATCGGAACTGATGCACCTCAGATACTGGCTGAGGAATCACCACACCCTGTTGTTTCCACAGACGCTCAAATTCCAGGAGGGTCGCTTTGCCAATGATGGTCCGGCCACATCCGCTATCCAACACGCCAAAACCGGGGCTGGAAATCAACATGATTTCGAAAGGTGGGCATGCCGTGGCCTCCTGAACCCTTTTGAGCTGCAGACGTTCCAGCATGGATGGGCGTTCCGAGGCCATCGCCACAAAGTCGAGTTCAGATTCTACCATAGCAACACCAGAAGTGGATGTAGATCCAGATGGTGCACTGCCTTTACCCGAACCCTTGTTGCCACTGCGACACTCTCTTGCCCAATGTCCACGCTTCCCACACTTATTGCAGGTAGTCTGTTTCTTCAGTTCCTCAATCTCAACTCTAAATGAGCGGCGCACATCTTTGGCCTTTTGGAACTGTCTTGTCCTTTGAAGCTTGTTCAACTCTTGACGCTTCTCACGCCAGGATGCTGCGAGGACCTCCGCCACCTCCTGCTCAGGATACCCTTCATCTTCACCTTGGGGAAGATCACGACCCGTATGGTCCGTCAAGAACTCTTCAACATCTTCGAAGTCTAGCTCTTCAGCCAGGTCCTGAGGGTCAGAAGGTTGGACTGCGAGGGTCTCCTCAACACTGGCTGCACCTTTTCGTTTGATCACCAGATCAGGATAGCAGGAGCGAAGAGCTGAGGCGATGGATTCACGCTTCAAATCTCCTCGAGCACGCGAAACCACCACTGCTCGCTGTTCATCATTCAGCATGGCCCGGTTCAGCAGAATCCAGCCCTTGGCCTCATCCGGAAATGAGACTCCAGCCTTCCGATTGCAGCGGTCGAACAGCTCGGTGGCGCGAGCTGACCATTGTTTCATGGTCTCGCCCTCTCGGGCTTTCAGTGAGAAAACCTCGGACAGAATCTCGCTCAACTCATCAACGGCGTCCAGCTTGGGGAATCTGGCATCCAACAACTGCCAGATCAACTTGTCGCCATCCTTCTTCTGATAATCGGCAGGGTCAAGATGTTCGACCGTTTCATAGGCCTTTCCAGCCAACAATGTCATGATATAGGCTCCCCGAGCCGCTTCAGACAATTTGTCCATGGTCAACATCTTGTTGAGGCACCAGGTCTTCCAACGGCGGTACTCACGGAAATCTTCAGTGTCGCCGGTGAAAACTCTCACAGGTCCTACCTCGGCAGGATTGTTGGAGGAAGCGGAAGTCATGCTTGCGTCCCTGGATCACAGTCGGCTGCTTCGAATCACACCCCCTTCCTAGAGGGTCACGACAACGAAAACGTCCATGCGGGAGCCCGGTCCCGCTTTGCGGTCCCGGGCTCCGCTACCAATTGCGGAAAACCACCCTTCTCCTGAAGGTCGCGCGGGCTCCTTTTT